ATATTGTAACTGTTTTAGCCCCTTTGTTGGGGCCAAATTGGCCCATAAAAGTAGAGCTAAAATAGCTCATTTCCTCGAGGGCTGATTTAGCCCCAAAAATAGGGGCTGTATTTTACCTTGCGTTTCAGCCCCATTTTTAGGGCTGATTCGGCTCTTTTCGATTTACAGTGTAGTATTTGYCTTATGAAATCTATTTTTTTACGTTCACATATACAATTCAAGGCATGGCAACACATTCATATTCTCATATGTATATATTTTTTTTTCTCGAGTTTTCTTTTTTTGTACTGTGTCTTATATTTATATACATATTTTTTATCTTTAATATTTATTTTTCATCACGAGTTTGGCACTGTGAAGCGTTATAGAATTTTACTATATAACGCTATATAAATTGAATAAATTATTATTAATTATTATTATAAAACAAATGCAAATACTACAGCCAGATTCATAATTGCACCGCTAGGGATTCTTAACTGTGTTAAAACAGCAAGTCCACTCAAAAGTCGTAGAAGTGCAGACATACGACGACTTCAATTAGGCTTAAACCCTGGGATGTCCGAAGTCAAAGTCGAAGTGTCTACCACCTCTACTTTGAAGACTTACCCTGGCTCTTGTATTGGCTACATCACAAAGTTATTAAGGTATCAGCGTACCCAAAACCGTTACATTTTAATGATTTTTTGATTTTTATATCATTGGAAAGGTCGTTTGTAGATCTAGGTATTTAGTAAAGTTTTGAAAAGATACGAAGTTTACAACAAAAGTYATTGCGCTCAAAATAGTTTTTATTCTTAATTGGATTAATGTCGTTGATGACAGCTCACATATTCGATAAATATGCTCACCGGCAGTTTTTATATGTTAAGTATGTCCGTCCTTTGGATCCAGAGTTGTATATATCACCCTCATGTTGATTCTCGCTTTTCTGCTTCTTTCTCCCTCTCTTTTCACGGGATCACTCTATTTCTTTCTCTTGTATGCACCCTTTTAATAAGTCCCGAGGTATTGTGTTCTCCGCACTTGAAGTCAAATTTATTCTTTTGAAATTTTTACAATACAAAAGGAATTCAAAAGAATAAATTTGACGTCAAGTGCGGAGAACACAATACCTTGGGACTTATTAAATGGGTGTATTAGTTTAGTTTATGATTTTACACGTTTTGATTTGAAACGGCCAACATTTGCGAGAAAAGGAATCAACTATACATCATATTTACAATTAGCATATCCTTGCTTCGCTTTGGTATCGCTAATCTTCTTGGCCTTTGGCATTGCTGGACATTATCGAACATTAGCTTCGGCCTAACCCAAGTTTGCTACAAAAAACTATATTTGTAGTAAAATCTTACGAGTTACAAGTTGATGTTGTTGAATTAAGTTAACTGACCATACTACTACTTCAATCGGTTCTGTCATCGCATCTTTTATGCTAAAATGACGTAGTTTCTGATATGGTCTTATAATCTGGTATTACCCGGTATAATCCCATTACGGACTAAAAACTGTTTTTGACTCATTTCGTTTAAAACTCCAAGTCAGATGCCCGTCAACCAATTTTAATCAAATTTCGTGTCTCGTCTTTTTTCAAAAGTTATTCAAGGTTCTCTAAAGAACTTGACATAATTTTGCGTTCCTAAACTTTATTACAACATTAAATCAAAACGAGAGCGCGTATAAAAAATCGCAGACACAATTTCTGAGACAAATATGTGAACAAAAGATCAGCGCTTAAATTGAATTTTTTTTCTGATAATTTTTTCAAACTTGGAGTTCGGTTTATACCGTCATGTAGTTTCAGATAAAGGAGCTAATAACTCTAAAACATAATTTTAAATGCATTTCAAACACTTATAGACATAAACTACAGTTACTAAGCTTTCAGAAAATATATAGTTTGTGAGCATTTGCAAAACAACAAGAAGATTATAGTCGATGACGCGAGTAGGGGTCGCGTGGGTATGCTGATACCTTAAGTGGGGTTGTTGCTTAAGGACCAAAGTATATGTAGGTTTAATTTGGGTTAAATCGTGCCGGCCACAAATTTTTTACACAGGTTAGCGTTTAAGGTCAAGTAAAGGTATTATCTGTACCTAAGGATCTGTACCTAAGGGGACCATCCCGATGGTTTTTAGCAATTTCCACCTTTTTGTTTTTGTTTTTGCCCATAACTTCCTGAATATTTAGTCGATCCGTAAGCCATGATCGGGCTAATCCCCGTTGAGCTACGGCACAAAGGTCACGTGGTCACGTGCACAAAGGCTGTAATTCTTCCTTGTCTTTTCGTTACTCAGGTTAATTTTGGTCTTTGTGCACCTAAAATTTTTTGCAAATTTCGAATTTTTCAAAACACTCCCTGTAACGGCGATAGAATAATTTTTGTTTTCTTTGTTATATGTATTTAGTTTGTCACGTCACGTTAGTCCCTAGTGTATTGTAGWTAAGTTAARATCATTTAYATTKGCATAATCGTCCTCTTTTACCGTTTACCGTCTGAGCACACACATCGTTTTGTAAGTATAGTTTTTTCGTCGACGTTTTTTCAAGTATTTAGCTAGTTTATCGTTGTAATTTATTATCGTCATTTTATAGGAACCATCATGTACGTTTCATACGAAATGCGTTCGAAACTTGTGAAAACTGWTTACTAGTAAAAGGAATAAACGACTATTATACTCCCAAATGCTTACATTTTATTGAATCTCTACAATTCTTTTAAAGCTTGTAGAGGTTATCCCCCTGCACGTATTGTGTAGTTTGTAGATAAAAATAATAAATCAATAAGGAGTTATAGATTTATAAAAAGAATTAAATAAGGTTAATATTTGATGTTAATCAAGTAAGGTTTGACGGAAACCCAGATTGTTTTACGAATTTTTTTGTGAAATTCCGGAAATTGGTCAATAGAACGTGTTCGCATAACTCTATTTTTAAATGCTAATGAGTTTGCACAAAATTCTAATGAGTAGAACTAATAACTTAACAAAAGAACAATAACAAAGTATGTTTAAACATCAGAACGAAAAATTTACATGACAACTAGCTAAATATTGCTAAAAAAACGTGCACGTCTTTCTGAGAGAAAAGCGGCAAGCTCAACACAAACGGGCATGAGCCAGCGAGGGTGACGCCAAATCTGTCCGATTGCTTTGAATGTTTTTATCTCTTTAAACACGTGCTCAACTTTGATCCTTCTTCTGGAAAGATTCCTGTTGAATACTCTTGCCCTTCGTCGATCTATGTTGTTTAACAGGCGCATTTGATTTGCTCTTATAGGAGCTAATATAATCCCTCCATCGGGGTACCCTTTGTCAGCTAGCAATTWAGCATTTGGCGGTAGTGCTCCTATTGGACCCATGAGTGCAAACGATAGCGCGTCATGTGTGYTACCAAAGAAACCAGACTGYAAAAATWTGATATGGCCTTCATTGTCAATAATCATTTGKGTGTTCATGCAATGATAGTGCCTATGGCCACTATAAAAAAGATGTTGAGGCTCCGTAAGTGGACGATAAATCTCATGAGGAGAACTATCTATTACRCCAACTACATTAGGAAATTCAGGCCAGTTTCCCATMATGTTTTGCAGTTCTTGTAAATTAGGCCACACGACCTGATTAGAAAAGTACTGCCACATCAAGGGTAGAACCTTGTGGATAATGCGGACAACGGATGTTGGATCAATATCGAACCACAGAGCCAGCATCTCCACGTGCGGATATTTGCGTAGCCAAATCATTACTAATAWAATTTGATTTATCAAACTTAGTTTCTGTCGACGCTGTCRTATTCTTTGMCCCCCATATATWGTGAGTTGGGATAAAGAAGGCAGAAGGTCATTGGCCAGGCGAAGAAACGAACCAGGAGTTTCACCGGTGTTTCGCCAAAACAACCAAGCTTGCCCTGAAATCAAGTTAAAAACATCTCGACCATGAAAGGGATAGCCATGGAAATTTGGAAAAATTCGCCGATACAGTGACAACTGCAGGCGTTGAGGTGGAGGCTGTAGATTGATCAATAACAATAAAAATCCCAAAATAGACATCAATAAAACTTGAATTTCTTGAGCATCCATAGTCTCTAAAACTAAAATTTCAKTAAAGCGTCACATGCACATTGGATTTCGCGCMTTTATGCAATYCACTGTGATCGGGTGAAAATCATGTTGCACAAAAAGTGAGATGATTTAATTTCAAGAAAAATAGACATGGTATGATAGTACAAAAGATATTAAATTGCCACGTA